GACAAATGTTCCACGTGCAGATGTTGGAGTCTGTCAGGAGAAAAGTAAAAAGGCACCATTTTAGAAAGGAAAAAAAAAAAAAAGAACTGGGGTAGAGATGGCGACTTCAGCTTCGGAAAATAAATAAATAAAATAAGAAAAAGTAGTGTTAAAGCTTTGAAAGGAATTTTTTCATTTGAGGGAGATTAGGAATAATGAAATGCAAACACAATAGTTAATACGTCTGTTAGCTGGTTTATGTTTCCTTCCGGAAAATGAGTAAGAGGAATGGCTTTTCGAGTTATCCTCCTTGACTGTCGCTGGGGTGAGCTCTGAGGCTGTACCCCAGACTGCTCTACCAAACAAACGCTAGATATTGGATGCTAGATGCAAGGCCATATTTATTCCTAAGCCTCTGCTAGCTCTACACAAATGAACCTGACAACACGGAAATTTCTAAGGAGATTGACTCCAGCTGTAGCAAATTCCTAATAATAAAAAAGTTTCCCCAAATGAGTCAGTCACACAGGAGGTAAATGAGACATTCTCTGTGGAGTCAGCATGTCATTTGGCGTGTGCCCTTTATACAAAAAGCCCAGCCGGAGGACCTGGTGGTTAACTGGGGCTTGTCCATGGGGAGAACCCAGACCCTGAAGGGAAGGGGGATTTTAGCCACCAAATTGTCACCCTGGGTCGCTTTCTCTTCAAGCAAACCTGTTAGGAAAATCCAGTTTTCCTAAGAAATTCAAGTCAGGGCTGATTATTGGCTTCACAAAAGTATTCACCAGTGGGGTCCTTTAAATAGCAAGCTCGGAGAGAAAATGTATGATTGATTGATTGATATGAACCTTTTTCAAACGTACATTCCCTTCATTAGCTGTGTGTGTAGATGTGTAAGGATGTATTTGTAGCTGGCCACATTACTCAAAAGGATTTGGGTGGTATACCCCTTGAGGACGTTGGAGAAAGTTTATAGCTCTGACATACGCTGGGTTGCCTTGCTTCGTGGTTGATTCTGTTAATCCCCTAAATTACTCTATGGGTGATTAGGCAACCAGGTAAAACCCTCCACTTCTGATGAACAAGCCAGTGGGATGTCAGGGCCCCTCTTTGTCCTTCCTGTAGAAATTGGCAACACAAAGACTGGAGCTATCTAGTGGTCTTTAAAAAAATGCTTTTTAAGCATTTACTGAGTGTGGGCTATGTCCCCGGCACTGTTCCAGGTGCTCTGATGTGCTTTATTTAGTCCTCACTGTGCTTCTGTGAGATGGTTGGTGATTGTGGTCATGATGATGATGATGATGATGGTATTTTTCATCTGCAAAATTATGAGAGCTGGATTATTTTCCTCAGCTCTTCTACTTTGACAAAATTCTGAAGGGAAATATCTTCATTTTATATACTTTAAAGAAATGCATACTCATGGTGAACAATTCAGATAATGGGCGAGAACAAAGAAGGAAGTAAAAATTACCAATTAGCCCACCATCCACATATCTCACCACTGTTAATATTTTAGTGTATCGTCTTTCAGACTTTTTCTGTATGTATATGCAAGGAATATGTATATATTTTAAAGCATGCTTTTTAAAACATCTACTTTTTTCAACTTAATAATATAGCATGGACATTTTTCCTTAAAGGCAAAAAGAAAACTAGAGTTACAGCACCAGTTACTAGAGCAGTGGAGTATTCCATTTTATAAATATCCCAAATTGACTTACCCACCGCTATTGTTGGACATTTAGACATGATGCTGTTTATAAACAAAGCATCTTTTCACTATACACACACACACACACACACACAGATCCATATACATTTTGCACAATTGTCTGATTACTTTCCTAGGAAAAATTCCTAGCAGTGGAATTGCTGGATTAAAGGGTAGGTACCTTTGCTGGATTAAAGGGTTAATATGTACCTAACATAATAACTTTTCTGACATTTTTGCCAAAATGCCTTCCAAAATAATTGAACAGATGTGCATTCTCTCTTACACTGAACCTCTACTCGCTCACTCTATCTCTTAGCGAAGGTCGTTTCTGCTCTAATGTGCAGCCTCTTCACCTCTGAAATGGGCATGAGAATACGGGCCACAGTGAACGCTCGCGAAGCACATGCTAACTGCCAGGCTGTGAGCTGGGACACTTTATATAGATTATGTTGGTCATCTACATTTCACAAAAACCCTAGAAGAAAGGTTTGACTAGCCCTGTTTTGCTCTTATTTTTCCAATTTCTGAAAGATTGAGTAACTTGCTTGAGGGCACCCAGCTAATAAATCTGAGCTGAGTTCTGTCTGCTTCTGGGATAGGGGTAGGGGATGCTGATACCAGGCCATGTGTTCAGTCCTCCTGGTGAGCCGGGGAACGTCTGCTCCATGAATACAGGTGCTTCTCAACCATTGTGCACACGGGTAAGGCATCACCATTACTCAGCTGAGAATGACTATCCAGCAGGGCTTACCTCAGTGTGGAAATAACAGGAAGGGGTTTTCCAGAAGGTTTAGGGGAATTTCCTTAGGGAACAAACTCAGTGTCTCTTCACTGTTATTTTAGAAGTGACTGTTTCCAAAGTCAGCACCATTTCCTACACTGAAATCACAGACCTCAACAGATTCCCCCACCCCCATGGCCTTTCTCAATATGTGGTCATCTCTCAAGAGCTCCGGAGGGAGATGCTGGCCATCTCGTCTTCTCCAGACTCTAACCACCTCCTGTGATTCTTCGGCCTATAGGAGCCCAGCCCTCTGGGGCCTAAGAATGAACGAATCCTGGTTCACTCCTTAGACTTCCTTCGCAGACCTATTTATTTGGAAGTGGTTGAGTGATCTGAAATATGGCTCCCGGAGCCTCAAGCCACTCGGGCTCCAAAAGCCCCTTCTGCAGCCCGCCAGCAGCCCCAGACCCTGTGTGTGTGGCGGGAGGTGGCAGGCGCATCCCAGGGAGGGTAGCCTTTCTAGTCCCTCTCTTTACCCAAAAGGAAGCAATTTTGTACAGGTTGTTTTAACAGGCTGATGCAAAGTAAACAAACGGAGGGAGAGGGAGATGGATGGTTCTCAGTAAATAATGGTACAGGGGCCAGCAGTTTGAGGGATCTGGTGGGGAAGAAATTTTCCACCTTAACAGCTGTGACAGGAGTATTCCCTGGGAGCCCAGAGAAGGAGCACAGACTGAGGACAGTGAAGATTGTCAGAGGCCAAATATGTGCATCCGTACAGATAAAATGGCATAGTGTGTGTGTTGTCCCGTGAACCTAGCCAAGGCTGTCTTTGAGGAGTCATCCCCAACCCAGGCCAGTTTGACGCAGTCTGAAAGGAGCTCCGGCCTCAGCCCGGGGAAGGCAGCCTGCTCTGCCTCTTGCTGAGGCTAACAGTTATGTGCTTATAGATGCGGGATCCCCAGGGAGTCACCCCCTGCTTTTGGAGAAAGGTTTTTATTGCCTTATCTAATATGGTGCTGATTCCTTTTAAAAATGTGTTGTTGACTAGTCACTGCTGATGTGAACTTTGCAGAGTCATATCCAGGAAGGAGGTGGCTCACAGTTGGGGAAGCTTTGTCACTAACAGTTAAAGGGAAGAGAAAAGAGGATGACCCAGGAGAAACCTGAGACATGGGGGGGGATCAGGAAAATAAGTGTCTCTGAAACATCCCCCGTGTGCCTGACTCCGTGCCTAGCATGTGCTCTATGTTTTTTCATTCCATCTCCATCCCAACCTCCATCAGTGGCTATTTTTATCTTCATCTTACAGATGAAGAAACTGATGCTCAAAGGGGTTAAGTGACTTGCAGAGACACAGAGCTAAGAAAAAAAGACTAAGATTCAGAGAGCTCATAATGGAAATAAACATGTGCCACTGAACAAAGAAAAGAAAATGTTTGTTTTGAGACATTTGATAGAATGACGCTACTGCTCTTACGCGTGCAAGAGATAAGGCCTTAAAATCTAGCCATCCACTGGGGTGCTCATTCTCTGTGGTTTTCATAAAGCAATGCAACTTCCTATATCTATGTTTGCCAGTCTCCAAAAGCACATGTAAGTGCCCTTTGTTTATCCATCTGGAACACCTGAATGTCTAGAAGTGAGTGGAGAGCACCTGAGCTGGAGGGAGACACTAGTCCTTTTCATCTCCTGAAAGCGACCTTTTCTCATACGTGCTCCTTTGTGCCATCCCCACCTAGGTATGACTTCATTGAGATTCGGGATGGAGACAGCGAATCCGCAGACCTTCTGGGAAAGCACTGTGGGAACATCGCCCCACCCACCATTATCTCCTCTGGCTCTGTCCTCTACATCAAGTTCACCTCCGACTACGCCCGGCAGGGGGCAGGCTTCTCCCTGCGCTATGAGATATTCAAGACAGGTCAGTGTGGTCATGGGGGGAGAGAAGTTGGGACTCTGTGTCTGGCCATGGGGCATTGTATGAGGGACCTGTGTAATAGTTATGTGCCCACAGATGGAGCCCAGTGGGTGGACACAGGTGGTAAGGGTTCTAGTTTTATCCAACCCGATAAGCAAGTTGAGGAAGGAAAGAGGGGTTCAAGTGAAATTGGAGACAGCCTGAGATGAACCCAGTTTAGGTTACCAGCCAACATAAGAGGGCAAGTTGCCAGGTTAATGCTTGAGTGTTTGTGGCAGCAAAAGAGTAGGGGCACCTATTAAATAGAAAAACCCTTTGGAAAGAATTTGACTTTTGTGTGTATTTAAAAAAATTACAGTAATCTTCATGGTAAAAACAAAACTTGGTTGTGCTTCCTCCTAATTACTTCATGGTTTAATATAGCCTTTGGAATTACATGGGGCAGAAGGACATAATCTGTTCAGTGTTGGAGTCTCTAAAAATCTTACTATGACCCTCACCCCCATCCCACCACCACCAGTGGGTTTATGCAGTAGCTTTTATATTCAAATACGGCTCCTGGAAATTCCCCTTGCTGATCCTCTGTGCCATGACTACCCATTGAATCCCCTTCCTAAATGCCGATGAAATTGACACCCTGGAAAAGAGAGCAGGAAAAGAGGCAGAGAATGTTACATTTCTTTTGAGTTGGCTGCTTGCTTTCCAGTAGGTCCGCCTTAGACTACTTTAGACCTTGAGAATATGGGCCAGTGCTGAATATCCATAACTGGGTAAAGACAACTTTCATTCACAAGACGCTGCTTCAGCATCTCCACTAAACCACTCCAAGCAGTCTGCCCTTCCCTCTGATATGTGAGCTCATGATCTTGAGGCCAAGTGAAGCTTATCCTCCAGTTCTCCCCTCACCCGCCGCCCGTCCCCCCACCTCAGGGGCTCTTGCCCCATCTACAGTCTGCGAGTGTGTCTCCCTCTCCAGCAGCCTAAGTTTTACAACTCCTGGGCGGAGTCTGCTGAAAGGGGAGGCTGTCAGCCTTGTCATCAAGAGGCCCAAGTCCGGCGCCTCTTGAGTTCAGCGTGAGGGGAACTATTCATATATATTTTCTTTTTCGCCAAACAATTCTTGAAAGGAAGTGGTTGCTGCTGAAAGCGCTTTTTATATTCACTCTGTCTAAATATTTGCCCAGTTTGTCTGCCTGAGAACCAGATCGCAGAATCCAATGAAAGGTTGGGACCAGAGCAGGAGCCAGGACCATCCCAGGGCACGAGTCCCAGGAATGTCCACCTGCCATGGGTCATGCTCCTGATGACAAAAGGTCACAGGGACTGACAATCTGTGTGTCCAGTGGCTCAGGGCAAGTGTGAGGCTCTTGAATGGCCTGATCTACCCTCCCTCGAGTCCTGCGCAAGATTCAGACTCGTTACAGCCCCCAGCACTGATGGACCACTCATCGTACCATCCTCCGGTGGGGCGCATTGGGGAGAAGAGAGAAGGGAATAAGGTGGGGTGCTTGCCCTTTTCTGGTGGGGGAGATAGGTGTGCAAACCCGCAGCACAAAACGGATGCACAACAGATGCTGTTGGATGAATATGTGTAAGTAGATACGTCATTTGAAAGGAAAACTCTAAGATGAGGCAGAACACGTAAGTGTGAAACATGATGAACATGCTATGGTTATGAAACTCAGGAAGCAATCAAGTGGCTTGGCCAGTGGGGTATCTGGGAAGTCTGCTAGACAGCAAGGTCCCCAGTGCTGAAGCCGCCACTCGGCTCCACTCTGCTGACCACGAGGGGAGAATTGCTCCAATCAAGGTCTTCCGCTGAGCTGACCACTGGAAGTCAGAACAGGGGTGAACAGGACCATTCAAGCTCATCTCTGTTTCATGCTTCCCAATTTAGTATTTCACAGAGGATGATGCCACATTTTCCAGAAGTCGATGTCAAAAAAGTGGTTGTTAACTCTATCCATCAGGCAGATTTGAAGAGTCGATATTAAAAGATAAAACACAGAAGAGGATATCATCACTCAGCATTGCTGTTTTGAGGAGAAGCTGACGGAGGATTTTGAATAAGGCAGCAAGTCTGTGGACTGCCTAGGAACAACCGAGCCAGCCAGGGAAGGTGGCGTGGGCATGGAGAAGTGGGGCAGTCTACGTTAAGGACTGGGATTACCTACAAGGAAGAAAGAGATTCCTGCAGTGGGAGATAAGCACAGCTCTGTCAGCAACAGCCCTTCTTCTGGGGAACGTAAGAAAGGGAGAGCCTAGTGGCCTCGGAGCCGCCATTCACACCTGCCTTTATGCCCCTTAGAAAGAGCAACTCTCACATGAAAGTCACCCCTCAGTAAAGCACAGACACACGCCAGCAGAATTCAAAACAAAGGCGTTTAGGAAATGAGCCTTCTTCCTGGTGCCATGTCCTGCACCCGCATCTCTACTGGTGGAGTCCTAAGAGAAAAATACACAAAGTTACGTCATCCACAGAACATTAAAAGAGACACATGAACATGCTGAAGAAATGCAAACAAACACAGCTATGTTTTCTAGTCAGATTCATAAAGAGAAAGAAGGGGGAACTGTAAATGCAGATCTGCAGCCGTACAGAGGGCTCTGGAAGCCTTCGACAGCACATCGCCCAGGCAGGGCTCTGCTGCACGATTATACCATCAGAAATAAACCCACAATTCGGTACAGATGGGGGCAAGTGGCTGGAGAGGGAGGTTCACGTCTGCCGAGTGAAGTGGTTTATGAAAGACTTTATGTATGACCAGACTGTCCACATTTAAAGGGCAAACCAAACAACTCGCTGACTTAGGTAATCTCAAATCACCAAATCATGAGCAGAACAGAGAAAGGAATTTAAAAATAATTTTTAAAGTAACATTGGAAACTGAATCACTGAAAAATGTGGGGATTTGGTATGTGTGTTTGTTTTCTGATTGTCTTTGGACCAAGTTTCCAGATCAAGTTTTCTTTCCTGGTGCCCAGTGACATTTTGGAAACAAATCTCTGGGGTCATTTACAGATGGAGAAACTCTGCAGGGCCCCCTACTCTCACTTCCCATATTGAAGGACTGGGTTCACCTTTTGTGGTCAGACCCAGCTCAACTCGGGATAAATCTACTATGTTTTCAATAGCCTTATGCATGCAGATTCTTCTTCCGCTTGTGGAGTTGGTGTAAAATTTACAGTGGAAAACCACAGAGTGGGCATTTTTCATACCACAGTCCTTTGGTATGAAATCATTCACTGCGGCTGAAATCCCCCAGCTTCTATGGACAATCTTAGTGTTGCACGAACTCGAGTATTTGTTGACTGAGCTATTTTTTTTAACCTTTAATCCTTTTAACACATTGCAGAAAAGCATCTTGGATTAGGTAGATATCTGCAAGACTCTGCTTTTGTCCCAAGGATGGCCACCCTTTTCTGAGATCTCTTCTCCACATTTGATATTCAGCTGCCTGCTTTGAGACACTGTCCAAAGAATGAGATGGTACAATTAGAGACGGATGTGTGATTGTAATGGACGGGCTTGATTTTTCTGCATAAAAAGGATCAAACTGTTTTTCTATCTGATTCAAAATAAGCCACAAGACACACCCATGTTTAGCCATTTATCAGAAATAGTTACACAATTTTTTCCCCTTTTTACCTTTAAGGACGTCCAATTGAAAAATTCTCTCCAGTCAATTCCAGAACCACAGAACCTTGGGAAATGTGGGTACTTCAGAATTTCACATTTTCCAGGCCTCTCTTGGGCTTTCAAAGTGTCCATTGTGGAAGCACCTGTCCCACCATGGATGAGAGGGACTAAAGAAAGATTCCACTATAAATTCCCTGCTCCGAGGGGGTGGGGATTCCCCTCGCCTTGGGAGAGAATGACAATAGAGCCAACTCTAGGAGGGGATGTCGGATGCCTCCTCTAGCTCTGGAAGCAACTTGTGAATAGAGTTAATTTCCTCTGGCGAAGTGGCCCAGCAGCTATAAACACTAACCTTTTCAAAATTCCTCCCGGCCCCCTGAAGACTTGCCAGCTGGCTTGGCTTTGCTAAAGGGCCTCATCCTGGATCACTGAGGAGGCCCTCAGGAGCTGGGGTCCTGACGGTAAACAAAACTGGTGGCTTCGTGGTAAACAAACTGGGGGGAGGGTCGTCTCCACTCCTCCTCCGGGCCTGGCTGCCCCTGGACCGCCCTGCCCCCATGATGCAGTGCAGCGCCTCTGGGATTCAGCATTAGAGAGCCTCCAAAGAATTCTGAAAAGATTAGCTCTCACCCCAGGTGTCCCAGGTTCCCACCTTGCCAAGGCACAGTGCTGGGTCGAAGGGTGGTGACAGAGGTGATGGCCTGCCTGGTGGGCAGGGATATTGGCACTTCCCATCTGATGCTAAAGAAAGTTGCAATCCTCCTCCCCTGCTTATTTGCATGGCACCTTTTCCAAGTCAGACCTTTGCTGCTTTCCAGAAAGCCGTCATCAATAAAGAGACGCACAGGGGGGCGGCTGCAGGAGCCTCGGATAAAGACATCGCTGCGGGCGAAGATCAGTGTATTGACATCACATAGTTATATTTCAGTGGGATCCCCAGAGGACACTTCCTGCCAGTAAACACATGGTTTATCTAGTATTTCTGTGTTTTCTGCTTCATGCTTAGAGGGCCTATTATAAATCCTGCTCCCTTTCCAAATTTTAAAATCAGACCATATCGTGAAATCAGTTATAATTGTGCAGCTTTTACGTTCATCGTGTTAACTCGAGAAACTTCTAACTCTGTGGAGCTTCCTGGGTCCGCGGTCTGGGCTGCAGGACTGTCCCAGGGCCCTCCCTGGCAAGTGGTGGCTGGGTTACAGCACATGGGGGTCCTTTCAGTGTGATTCCACCTAGAGGCATTAGGAGATGTGGTGGCTGTAATCCTTTTACGAGTTCCCTCTGTGGTCCAACCCTGCACCAGGAGGCGAATGTGTGCAGCATTTAATAAGGTGCCTCCGTGAGCCCCAAGAAAGCGGACACAAGAGCTGAGGAGAGAAACAAGGCCACCCGCCACCTCCGCCCCCCCGCAAAGGAACCAGAAGCCTTCCAAATGTCAATGCACTGCCACATTTTTTCCAAACTTGCTGCCGGAGCGGCCTTTAACATCCCCAAACCCTGCTGAGATCCACCAGCTACAAACCTCAATTGTTAATTGTCTGGCCACTACAGAGCCGCTCGTTTTAATATAGTCATGACATGAATGAGACCCGAGCTCGCCTTTGCCCCTCCCCTGAGGCACCTTGGATCTTGGAGGGAGACGGGGGCACTGAGTTGGCTCTGGTACAATAGGGGCTAGTGTTGAGGTCAGCAATAAATAAGGGGTAACATTGTTTTCCCTGCTGGCAATCAGCAAGCCTTCCTTAAGGATTGAAATAACTTACATTTCTGGAGCAAGCAGCTGAGTAATTGAGAAAGAGGACTCTGTTCCTCTATTCAAGAGAATCAGTCTCTCTCTCCCTCTCCCTCTCTCTGTATCTCACACATGCTTCTTTCTACACCGCCCCCCTCCCAAACCCTCAATTGCTGCTCTTACTCTAATATGTAGAGCAAGCCCACTGGCCTCCCCTAATTTCTCTCCTAAAGATGATCTGGCTTAAGGGCTTGAAATGTGGATGTGAAAAGTATGTTGCTTCAAGGGCCACTCCAGTGGAAACAAAAACTTCGTGAGTAGAGAGATTTGGGCCCAAACATTTAAATAACCCATGCGACAGAGGCAGCGGAGAAGGGCATCTTCTTCCTCTGTCTTATATACAGGCTCTCTTTTATATACAGGCTCGGAAGATTGTTCAAAGAACTTCACAGGCCCCAACGGGACCATCGAGTCCCCGGGGTTTCCCGAGAAGTACCCACACAACCTGGACTGCACCTTCACCATCCTGGCCAAACCCAAGATGGAGATCATCCTGCAGTTCCTGACCTTTGACCTGGAGCACGACCCTTTGCAGGTGGGAGAGGGAGACTGCAAATACGATTGGCTGGACATCTGGGATGGCATCCCGCACGGTGAGTGATGGCGCCGTCCCTCGCCAGGCACTTCTCCGTATTTTCGCCTTTGCCTGTTAATTGCTTTAGGAGCAATAAAAAAAGAGAACAAAGACTTTAAAACTCCTCAGGGGTTATCTGTGACCCTTGATGACTTTCTCTTCTTATCCTTCACCAAGGATGTTTTCAGAGAGATGGCAGGAAGGCAGTTTCCTCTCTTGGAGATATTTCCTTGGAGAAGGGTAGGAGGAGACTGAGGAGATACCTGGATGAGCATGAGAAAACTTATAGGCAATGTTCTTTTCTGCTCAAAGGCATCAGAATTGCCTTGGAAAGTGACTCAGTGACCACCCCCTATGCCTAGAGGGGACTCTAGAGCCGGATTGACTAGGTTTGAATTCTGGCTCTAATATTAGCAGCTCTGCAACCTTGGGCCAGTGACTTAACCTCTCCATGTCTTATCTGTATAAATAAGCTGCTATCATTATTGTTACTATAATTTTATTATCAAGGGGGGAGGGTATAGCTCAGTGGTAGAGAGTGTGCTTAGCATGCACGAGGTCCTGGGTTCAATCCCCAGCACCTCCATCAAAATAAATAAATAACCCTAATTACCCCCGCAAAAACAATTTAAAAATTAAAAAATGAATAAGCACTGAAACATGCTGTACACCAGAAAGTGACACAACATTGTAAACTGGCTATACTTCAGTTTTTAAAAAGCCAAAATAAATAAATAAGTAAAAAATAATATAATTTTACTATCATTTCATATATATAATGAGAGGTGTTAAAAAGGCGCACCTCCCCCCACCAGGGCCAAGAGGAACCTTGGCCGATATAGGTCTTGGGTAGTCAGTATTGGCGAGGAAACCAATCTTTCACATTTATAGTTGTTCTAAGTATTTTGCACTGTAAGGGAGACTTGATGGCTAAGCTATTTCATTTCCTGAGAAAAGCATAAGGTTTAGTCCGGAAACTTGGGTTGGAGTCCCGGCTCTGCTATTTCCTAGCCGTATGAACCAGGAAGTCATGTGACCTCTCCAAACCTCAATTTCTTCTTCTGTAGAGCAGGCGTTATAATGATAGCTTTCCAGCCCGTCGCCCAGGGCTGTGAGAACAGAATGCAGCCAGGTCAGTGAAAGCACTTTGTTAATGTGCAGGAAAACATTAGACATTGTTCTTAAAACATATCTCTGGTTGTTCTTTTATGCCACAGCATACAGAGGGATGCTCGACTGAACAACTTGCAGTTGTGGGAAGGGAGAATGTATTGCAAATGGAGTTTGTCATTTCCGTTTCTGTGACCTCTCTTTGTCCTGCATGTCCAGTTGGCCCCCTGATTGGCAAGTACTGTGGGACCAAAACACCTTCTGAACTCCGTTCCGCAACCGGGATCCTCTCGCTGACCTTTCACACGGACATGGCGGTGGCCAAGGATGGCTTCTCTGCACGTTACTACCTGGTCCACCAGGAGCCACCAGAGAGTGAGTTGGCCAGTTGTGAAACTCTGTCTTGTCCTTCCATCAGAGCTGCGAGGGATAGGAGAGGCTGACCACTGCAAGAGAAGGAGATGGGAATTCTACAGAGTTCTCAGATGCAGTGGCATCTGAGTTCAGGGGATGGGAGCTGTATCCTCTTGCAAGGCAGAGATTAATGAAAACAGAACAAATGTTAATCTGGGTGCTCATTTGTGTTCCAAAAATTAGTTATTCCAGAATGTCACAGGACCATCTCAAGCCTTAGAAAGAAAAGGGGGTTAGTTATATCCATATAAAGCCCCCTCCTGTGCTAACATTTTTTGAGTCTAGGGCCATTTTCCTTCCTTTCCAAGCCTCAGTGGCCCACTGTCAAAAAACTGAGCAATTTTAAGTCTCTTTCTGTATACCTTTTTTTTCTGGACATTAAACATCTCTGGCTCTGATTAGAGTTTCTCCGACTAGCTTGGTACACTGCTTGGACTTTCATTTCATACTTTCAATAAACAGTTTTTTTGAGCTTGACTGTGTGCCAGGCACCATGCAAAGCATAGAAAGTGTAACCCTGACCCTAGTGGTCGTGAAACTTGACATCTAGACCATCAGTCTCCTGCCTGGAGCTACATCTTTAAACCAGCTCCTTTTGGACATGTGCTCCAAATGTGCTGCCATTGTCACTGAGAAACCCAAGTGATAACTTGAAGGACTGAAGGAACGCTTTAAGGATGATTAGAGCTGGGGAGATCCTGCCATGGTCGCAGACGCTTGCCGCATGCATACCTACAGACGCAGCAGCCTGCCCTCCTGGAAAGCTGATGTGTTTTGCTCTGGGTTTTGCTTTTGTTTTGTTTTGTTTTGTTTCCAAAGAACTCATAAAGATTGAGGGAGAAGAAAACAGTATTGCAAGCTGCACTGCGTTCTGCAAATGGCCAGCACGGTCACAGGGTTACAGCATAGGTTTGATAACTGAGAAAGATTGGTTTTCCTTCTCTGACACACGCACACACAAACACTGACCAGCGTCTGTGGGATCCATGGCAAGGACAGCAATTAAGCTGACAGCGCAAGGCCAGAGAAGGTGACTTCGGGTCCATTTGCCCAGACAGGTGTGTGGGGGACTATAGAGGGACAGGCGTGTGCTCACAGAGAGGTCTCCCAAAGACAGGCATTTATGGCTTTGTGATGTCTGTCTTCTGTGCCAGAACCCACGAGACAGCCGAATGAAAGAACGAAAGCATCAAAAGTGCCTCCTGGGTATTTATTAATAAAGCAGGCTTCCTGCCGCATGTCCGCCACCCACATTGCCACGAGTCTATCACACGTTTACCTGGATTTCAGTAGTGGTGCATCTGGCATCTGCGAGCGTTCGTAGCCTGCAGCACTAACAGTTCTTGTGCTTTTGATTGTCTTTTTAATTTGTATGATGATTCTTAGTTAGCCACAGCCTGATTTCTTTTAGGTCAAAGTTAGTTTCTTTCAGACCCGGAGGGATTGTCAAGCTCTGTGACTTGGCGCAGTTGTTTTTAAACTTCGAGTGTATAATTAGGTCTTTGAGATGAAGGAGTGCCTGCAAGGACTCACCCCTAGAAGGGAACAGCATTTTGGGGGTCCCAGGGGGTTGAGGTTGAGAGACCTAACTCTGCCTTGACTGTCTCCATCCCTTAGGCTTTCAGTGCAATGTCCCCCTGGGAATGGAGTCTGGCCGGATTGCTGATGAACAGATCAGTGCCTCATCTACCTACTCTGATGGGAGGTGGACGCCTCAGCAAAGCCGGCTCCACGGTGATGACAATGGCTGGACACCCAACTTGGATTCCAGCAAGGAGTATCTCCAGGTACTTAACTCAGATACCAGAGGATGTGCAGAGTGTGTGTGTGTGTATTGGTGGGCGGGGTGGGGGGAAGCTCCTCCACTAGGGTGGACAAAGGACACAAAGGAAATAATTACAATATACTTGAGGACTCCTTTCATCCATCCATCCATCCATCCATCCATCCAAAGAAATCCATGCTCCAGGCACAAAGAGACTGTGCCAGGCGCTGTGTGAAGTGCTGGGATAACATGACGAGGAAGCGGGACACTGGCCCTGCCCTTGGGAAGATTACCAGGCCTCGGAGCAGCTGTTTGGCCGGGAAGCTGTTTGCCCTATCACCGTAGGTATCCGAGGAACTTCGATAAACAGTCCCAGAGCTTGCTCATTCTTGGAAGGGGGAGGCATCAGAGACTCAGGGGGCGTTTTCCTAAGGGCAGGCTGGTTGAGTTGCTAGCTGAGCACGGCTGCTTCTTCTGATCTTTGCTGTTTGGAGGGAGCCCTGCCGGGAAGGTTTCGCCTGTAGCTATCAGGGAAACACGTGGGAAAATGGCACACCCAGGAATGAAATTCTAGTAGTCCTGATGCCCTGCAGCATCTTTTCAGACTATTGTTTGCTTTGCTTCTGAATAAGACTTGCAGCTCATGTTAAATGATCCTCCCTTGCACTACACACGGGTCCAGCTCTCATCCCCAGGGAAGAGCAAGCTGCTAGTCCCGTGCTAAAGCAATGACTGCTGTTATGACACACGGCAGACAGCCTGGTGACCCGCTGACAAGCCTGTCCTAGCTCTGATGCGACGTGGTGACCCCTGCTCAGAGAAGGACGTTGCAGGGCAGACAACAGGAGAGGGAGAAAGACCTCTTAGAATCTTCCATGGAGCCCACAGAGGTCCTGACAGCACAACTCTAAGGCCATCTGTCACCGTCTCTCCTCTGCCTCTCCAGAAGTCCTTCTCATCTTGCAAAGCTCCCAGAAAGTTCTCCTTTGTAATCAGCATTCCATTGATTGTAGTCCTCACTTTTGGTCCTTAATCATATACTTCTTCTCATTGCTCTCCACCTGTTTATTGTACACGTGGACAGCAGTTCGTACCTCTTCCAATGCTTAGTAGCACTGAGCACATATTAAGTAAGCAATAAATGCTTTCTGAATCAAATTTTACCAGTGCTGGCTAAATTTTGATCACACAGAGATTGCCATTAAGAAACACTGTAGCCAGCAAAGGCATGACACCCAGCAATTTCCAAATGGGTTTGGTGTTGTGGGAGGGGAGGTGCCTCAAAATGTTGGCCATATCCTCCTCATCGGGCAAAAGGTCAGGACTTGGTGCATAAGCCTAATTGCTTGGGCAGACTCTGCATGCACTTTGACCTCTCAGTGACCTGAGCAACTAAATACACAATGGAGAGCGAGACTGAGGGGAGGGGAAACAGCCGTGGGATGAGGCTTCTACGGCTCGGGCATCGTAAGTGAATTGGATTGAATTGGGCTGGATCGGAGTGGAGTGGAGTGGATTGGATTTAGCCATTGTTCTCTTAAAACAGCATCGCTTTTACTGTCCAAGGCAGGCTGTGGTTTAGTAAGAGGGGTCGTAGTTCTAGATGGTCAATGACTTCTTTACGGTAAACTCAATCCTGTCTGTTCAGATTTTAAGAAAAGAGAGAGAAAAAAAGCAAGTTATAATTTCATAGGTGTCCAACCTCGTAGGTGTTAAAATAAGTTGAGTTTAACTGTCCAGTGGCTGCAGACTGATTCCTGATCACCAATACCTGTGAGTGAATCACAGACAGAGGTTGTGAACTAAGGATTATTTATAATCGTGTCCTTTGCAGAAAAAGCAAGATGCTGCCCTGTGTTGGGAGTCATGGCCCCCTTACTTCTCCACCTCTCTTTCTCAGGTGGACCTACGCTTTCTAACCATGCTGACGGCTATTGCAACGCAGGGAGCAATTTCCAGGGAAACTCAGAATGGCTACTATGTCAAATCCTACAAGCTGGAAGTCAGCACGAATGGTGAAGACTGGATGGTGTACCGGCACGGCAAAAACCACAAGGTAAACCCATTGCCCATCCTCGCAAAGGCAGCTGGGACGAGGCGGGAGGGGTGGGGCAAGAGGAGCTGCTAATCCACCCCACGTGGAAGAGGAGGCCTTGTTCGTTTCCGGTGAGGCTCAAATAATTGATGGAGGTACTGGAGACGCTGGCCCGGAAAATATTCTTTCTTATGCTAAAATGATTGGAAAATACTGTTCCTCTGACAGCCTGACTGCTGTTGCATCTTGCACAGCAGAGAGAGAAAGAGAGCTCGAAGAGTGCTCTCTGACTGCAAATGAAGGAGAAAATGTGTTCCCAGTCCCCGTCTCCCCATACAGGATTCATTGAGCATTTATGGCCTGAGTCCCTTCCACATGCTGAGTTAACAATCACAAAACCACATGAAACTGCAGTTCAGGAGTTACCGAGATCTGGAAATAAAAGGGCACAAATCCTGAGAGGGAGTCACAATGTCTCAAAGAAGAAAGAGACCAATAAATAATGAGGAGAAATTTGGTTTGTTGGGGAGGGGATCTGAACTGGCCATCATGCTTAGCAGCAAGGCATTGAATTCTCTCGGCTGGGGCCCGTCAGCGTCTGCGGCTCCCAGAGGTGTGTCCGTGTGGGTGACGTGGGGCTTTTGTTGTACATATGGATGAATGTCTGACACTCAGCTCTCTTAAGACACGTGGCATTCTGGCGGTGAACTGGCCTGCAGCTGGCGCTGGTGATGTATGCACTGGTTGGAAGGTACACTCAGCGTACGGCAGGCTTATTAGAAACATCCAGTGGTCCTCCCTGGGTGGGGGGAGAATTCTGTTCATTGTAGGCTGGCTCTCGGGTCTGGAAGGAGAGTGCTCATCCTTCCCTGAATGAAACTGGGGACAGAGGGAAAGGGTCTGCTCAGTCCCAGCAGCCCCCTGCTCTGTCAGGTTGTGGATTATCCATATGGGACACAGGTGGCCAAACCTGGAGATGCCAAAGGTCTTTTCCAAACAGAGTCTCCTTGGCTCCTGTCACTGCCTCAGGGCAGCTTGCTCCTGCTGGTGAAACTGGAAACCTTGGACCCAGGAAATCTTAACCTGTAATGTTGGTACTGTTTCACTCAGGAAATGTGAGATTTTAAAGGAGTGCATTTTTTAAAATTAAGATCGCCGTAGTAACATGGCACTATTCATCTGAGCTCACGGCTTCTAGATATTACCAGGTCTCTCTCTCTCTCTGACAAACACACACACCCTTACACACATAGTTCTCCATGTCACAGACTAAGGAAGTGAGATACTTAGCAATTGAAAGGCTTCCCCACCTTGACATGTGAAGTCAGGTCTGATTTCTCAGTGACTCTTTTGTTTTAGGAAGGGTTACCAGATATCCCATGGACATGGCAAGCCTGAGTTGGCATTGAATGCTGGGAGCACTGTGGGCTGAGTCCTCATCCCAGCCCACTCCTTTGCACACCCTCTCTCCCCACCAGCCCTTCTCAGTAAGAAACTAGCAGGACCCACAAGCTCAGCCAGGCAGACGAGGGCCAGCAGCTGGGTTGGGGTGGGTTCTCGGGGAGGAGGAAGAGGTTCATCTGATCGCCTCCCCGTCCAGGCTCAATGACTAAGCAGCGCTGGCCAGAGGGATACTGTAGCATAAGCTGATTTTAAAAGCACGCAGATGGACCGGGATGCTATTTAAAACACCATTTGTAGGAAATCTGCTTTTGGAAATACCTTAGCACTGCACATTTTGATAGAATGCTGTCCTCCCTGGCTTTATCCCTGGTATTTGTGGTGCAGGGAAGATATTCCTGACAATTGAATCTAGTTTTCTGGGTTCCTTTGGAATCATTCTTCTCAACTTTTGCATATCAGACACATCATCCCCTGTCTTTCTCTCTCACTTTCTCCTTTGCCTCCTCTTCCCTCTCTTGGTTAATTTCTTTCCCTAGGAGCCAACGGGTGGTTTCATTTTGTTGTTGTTGTTGTTTGTTTGGCTTTTTTAGTGAATCAGTCCTGCCCACATAAAAGGCACTGGGGCAGAGGAAAAGCCCTTTCTATCCCCATTAGAAATGCATCCTCTTGGTACCTAGAAGGAAGCAGGGGAATGGAAAGTCTGCCAATTAAGCACTGCCACCCCCATGCTCCCTTGACGCCCCGCGGGTGTGGTGGGCGAGGGAGGAGACCTGCCCAGCCCTCACCTCCAAGGGTGATCTCTGCTGCTCTTTCATTAGCAGATCAGTTCCCAGATGTCTGTATTTAATGTGCAGATTCCGCACCACTCATGGTGCGTCAGCGCAGCTCTCTGGCTGTTTGGGTTGAAATAGTTGAGTGAACCGTGCCAAATAGATTTGTCAAGTCTGCTGCAGTCTGATTTGATGCCATGAAGGGGAGGTGGGGTGAGGAGGGGACTTGGGGGCTGTGGGGGGAGAGGCTTCATCTGTGCCGGGCACTACCACTGAGTTTCTCTTTGTAGCCACTGGAGGGTGGGCACCGCGCCAAGCGAACTGGTGCTAAATGGTGGGCTTGAAAGCAAAATTCAGACAGCTCGACCTGTGAGCAAAGCACAGCGGAGGGGGAGGGCGCAGCGCTCTCTGCTCCAGGGGAAGGGGGCAGGGGGAGGGTTTGCCAATGCAAACCAGTGCATGGGGCATGAGGAGGGGATGACATGTGGGGACAGACATGTGGGAACTCGAGTTCAATTCCCTGGTCACTGTCAACACCAGGGCAGGATACCAAAGACCAGGGAGTTGGGGAAGTCGGAGAAAAACAAGCTTAATGAGCACTCAGGGTGGCGGGCGATGGCTGTGCTATTCCCTTGCAAAACACTATTTACAGTTTGGACCTAGGCTGGGCTGAGGCAAGACCTGAGCCTGTAGGGGAAGACCGCCTCATGGCCAGGAAGCAAGGAGGACTCAGGAACGCTTTTCCAGCCTTCCACAGCCCGTGAGCAGCCTCTGAGGCTCTCTTTCCATCCAACAGGTAATAGTGAGGGTGCCAGTGAGAAAGGCATTACTCTGTCGCTGGGGGATTTGCAAGCATCCTCCTGGCAAAGCGCAGCCCAATTATGCGGGCCACATGTACAGCACATCCCCAAATCTTTATCCAATTCCACATGCCATGAGAAAAAGGAACCTGTGATTTTCCTGTGATTTTCCTGTGGGGCGGGCCCTCCTTATGCATATTTATGGCATAACCACAAGGCAGAGAGCTCATCCGCCTGTTAGAGCCCATATCCAGTCCATGTGCTCCTGAGATTATACAAATTGCTTCACATATATTTCTTCGGAAACCACAAGCATAAAACTACTGCTTTTGGTTTCACCAGCTGAATTAATAACACCCCAAACAGAGACACAACATTGTAAACACAATTGTAGAAGGTTCACGTATGTGTCTATAATTATAGGCACAATTATATACACACAGACCAAGGGAGGGGTGTGGAGAAAGGTGGAAAAAGCTGGAGAACACAAGACCTTGGCCACGATCCTGCTCACCACGGAGATGCTGGTTTGGTGACGAGTCTGCACTGGAGGGACTGAGATGGAGGCTGGTGTCAGGGCAGGAGGGCAGAGGCCATGCCCTCATACGTCTCAGCAAAAGCCCTTGTCTTCAGTTCTCCCTTATTTGGTAAACGTGGGCATCTTTCTTGTTGACACTGCTCTGGTTACCTTGCTTTCAGTCACAGTGTTGCTGGGCTGTTCTGATGTATTTGGAAGAAATTTGTGCTAAAGGAAAGAGTCTATCGGGGTGTTGCATATATCCTGATGGCTGGATGGAGGATGGGAGAGTGAGGACAAGAATGAAGTAAGGTTTAGGTCCAGGAGTTTTCAGAATTACCCCATAATGAGTGGCAGAAATGCGCTAAGCTCATCGTATTAAAGTAATGATGACTTCCAAGGGGCTTGGAGAGCCCTCAGGCACTGGGTTATTTGCTTCAGAATTTAACAGTGTTTCAGACTGTGGAATTGAAGCTCTCCGGAGAAGTGATGTGCCCCAGGGACACGGAGAAGCGAGGAGTCCCTGTGAAAGGCTTTGACCCCGGCAGGTGTTCCCATGGTCTGATCCAGGCCTGGTTTGTCACTTGCATCCAGAGGGAAACTGGCTTCCTCAATGCTCAGTCCAGGCCAGGGGACGAGAAGGGTGTGTATTCCTGGGGAGCCTCTGTTTCATGGAGATTGGAAGGCAGGTAGTGCTCAGGCAGCATGGCTCTGAGTGCTGAGCTCATCACTTTGGAGTCTGGGCTCCATCATCAAATCCCGAGGGTGTAGAGTTGAATGAACTTGCTTTGCATTTGATTTGGCCACATCCCTTCTGAGCAAATAAACACCCCACTGCAAAAACCCCCTGCCCTATATTTATTTTCCAAATTAAAACAATTCAGTATGAGAGCTGTTGGAGAATTTAAAACCTTCTGCGAAACTACCAGAGACTTAGGGAGGAGAGAGAGTGACATCATCAAAGCACCCAGCCCCCAAATCAGTTGGCTAACAGACCCACGCAGGTCCTTTTTTCAGATCTTCTTGAATGATGTGCTGTGTGACCTTGGAAATTTCTTTTCGTAACTCTGTGCCTCAGTGTCTCTGTCTGCCCAAATGGAATGGTACTGTAGCTACTGTTGGCAGAGCTCCTTGGGCTCTGTAGATGGAAGGCTCTCTGCAGATATAATTAATGTATTAGACCTGCAGAGCTCTTCTTGAGCAGAAGCAAGTTATCAATTTAAAAAGTAACAAGGCCCCATGGGATATTTATCTGCCTCTTTAAAATCGTAGGTCTGGAAGGGACCTGATAAGTCATCCAGACCTCTCCCTGCATCTGATGGGGCCTGTCCTTGAGCTGCCTCAGATAAACAGTACCCCCTCATTCTTCAGTTAGAAATGCAATTATTCGTCTGATGAAAATTTTTGAGTTTTCCAAAAGTACTTAAAAAAAAAACAACTTCCTGGTGGATGACGGCTTTCCCTTTTCCTTTTTATTGTAGTAATTTTGTTCATCATATATAAGATTAAGACAGTGACTCAAATCGTCAG